CTTGCAATTAAAATAATAATAATAAAAATAAATTATGGCATTAAAAAAAGTTTTTCTTAATGAAAAAAAAGAAAACCACAATCTATTATTAAAAAAATTGCCTCAGGAAGAGCAAACATGACCCCATGAATTATTTGGAATTTAATGGATTTTATTTACAAAATTTTCAAATTCTCTTGATTATGATTTAATCTATACATAAATTCCTATATTTACGTGCTAAAAAAAGAAATATTTAAAATTATTATGATTCGAAACTTGCATCTTACGCGCAGTTAAGCCAAGTAAGGGGTGCATTTGAAGCAGCTTACGGCTCGTTTGGGGTAACTATAAGTATGGCGGCGACGTCCCCAATTTTAATGGATACGCGATCACGGGTATAAACGCCCCTCGCTAATCTTTTACCCATTTGTTCTTCACTGCGTGACGCATTCTCGGTGTCCTATTTCTAGAGTGTGACGATTCTCAGCGCCGCTCCTCCCTCCGCGCTTCCCAATCGCACGAGAGTCTAATAAAAAATCGCTATCCTCTTCTCTCTTCTTCACTTTATTATTTTTCTGATCTTCTCCTCCCCCGCTCTGGAAGGTCTGCCCTAGATCGCGATCCCTGCTTCTGTTCGGCATCCTGCTAGATTGCATCTCCCCATTCCTTGCTTCCTTTCAGCATTCTGATAGATCGCGTTCCTCGTTGCCGCTCCCTACTACAGTTCGACATCCCGATCTTCTTCGGCAAGCTCCTGCCCTCTTCTTTGCAACTCCGCTGTCCACAACCATTTCTTCCTTTTATTCTCATCTCGACAGACATTTTTACAATATTTTTTCCTCTTCTTCTTCTGCATCATTAGCTTCAAAAATGTTCAAAGCTTATGAGTTTGGGCCTTGTGTGGTTATCTTGAACTGTGATTCGAGCTCTCAAAAATTAGTAATATTGATATTAATGCAAGGCATATGAGCATATTTATTTAAATACATTCTAGATATTAATGTAGAGGCATACAACATTTTTCCTCTTATGTCTATTTAGATTCATAAAAAATAATGTGTCAATATTTTCTTATTTGATGTTTTGATATTTCTTTTTAAAAAATTTGCTAACTATCTTTTATGTTGATTAGTTATTGAGTATATATGATAATATTTCATAAAAATTATTATACAGTCGATACCTTCAAGCTAGTTTGAATGTTTGTGTCATACTTGAGTCATACTTGATTGTACATATTAAGCTTGTGTGGAGTTCTACATTTCTAAGCACAACTCAATGGCACCCCTATAGCGATAATTAGGAAACTCAACATGTTTTCTTATGGTTTTATTATTGTTCTCTTATTGTTAAAATGAGCTATTACATTCCATTTGAAACTTTAAAATTATGCTTCTTTACAACTTTTACATATGAACTTTAAAATTTCTAACACTCATGTTGTGGTATTAACTCAATGCGAAATAGTTTATATCACAAATTCATTCCCAAATGTTTTGCTAATATTAAGGTCTTCTTCAATAATGTTTAACGTTTTATTGGATTTTGGATATTACATGACATGCCAAGTTACCCATTTTCGAAACAAATACAAATAGTTGTGACAACCATTGCTCTGCACAACTACATATGATGCCACCACTCTTGCTCTGATGTGGATTTTGCATTTGTAGAAGAAAACCTACATCATATTCCACAGGAACTGCTTATCCGGAACAGGGCCGGAATAGGGCTATTTTTCAAACGTACAAACCAAACAGTCAGCCACTTTATCCAGACCAGCTGCTTATCAGTAGATTATTAGGATAAGCTGCTTATCAGCAGAAGCTGAATAAGTTGCAGCTGCACCAAACGGATCCTTATTCTCTGCGTTTGTATTTTGAAAACGGACCTGAGATATTTGTTTCCTGCTTTTCAACAGCTTATCCTAAAAACATGCGGGCTGTGGGATCATCCCCGCGCAGCGTTTCGTTCGCGACATTACTCTTGTGCCCTCTATTTCGCATCACATGCCCTCGTTACCCATCTTTCACATCCTTTGCCGCCCTTCCCTCTTCTTCGACGATCTCTCTCACGACAGGTAATCTTCAAATTCTTCTTCGGCCTTCTTCGGATCCGTTTTTTGTTTTTCTTTCCTGGCGAATCGCAAATCGCTGTTCTTCCCCCTCATTTGCATCCTTTGCCGCTCTTATGTCTTCTTCGACAATCTCTCACGACAGGTAATCTTCAGCATCTTCTGCGTCTTCTTCGACATTTTCTCCTCTCTGACATTATCATTCTGATTTTTTTTCCCGGTCGAACTGCAAATCACAGATCTTGTGAGTTTTGCGATGATAACCTTGATGAACAAGAAATTTAGCTGCTTCATCTTTCTGATGCCTCTATATTAGAATGAGAAGTCTCAGCTAAGAGTAAATGTTCAGTTGAACTAAATAATAAATTTTGTTTGCCTTTCTTTAAAATTGCAAAATCAAGCTGAGAACCTTTTAAGGAGAAGACTTTCTGAACTAATATTGGTTCAACATTAATTTACTTTGCCCAACATACTTCTTATGTTCAGGGAATGGACTAAAGAGCTCCTTACTTAAATATTTTAAGTATGCTGATGGTACATGCATAGGAATTGCAGTTGGTGTGGATGTAATTGCCCCTTTCTTAATTTATCTATTTTCATGCTGCTGATGAATCATGCGGCTTTGGTGATAGAAAGTCTTGGTTTTTTCAATTACATTGTTTGCAAGAAATTTTTAAAATGAAACAAGAACATATCTTCAAGAAATTTTTAAAATGAAAGGAGAACATATCTTATGAATGCTTGATCATATCTTGTTCTTTATTATATTCATAATATGGTGAAAGACAAACATTTATGGTGGCCAAAATCTAGGCGAGTCAGTTTTGTAAGGATTCTCACCAAAAAGCTTAATGTTTTGAATATAATTGTTGGTTTTAGATTCAAGTTTTGCATGCATACTTGAGGAGAATTGTTGTATAAAAAAGACAATAAGGTTTGAGCTTTTTGGTGAGATTTAAGTTGTATTAAATATAGTTGTAAATAAAAATATAAAGACTCTTAATGTTGATATTTTCAGACGATAAAAGTGGTCTAACCAAAAAATAAGGGGTCAACTGATACTTCATGAACAAATTTTGAACATCCGACACAAATCTCAAGACATGTCACGGATCTTGATGCACATTTTTTAGCAATAAATATTTAAACTTTGATAAAAAGTCATCCGAGTGTTTGATTTCCAAACTTACAATCAAACTGACTGATTCGACAAGACTAACCCCATGATACTAAAATTAGTCAAATATAAATCAAATCAAGCCCCAATCAAAGCATTAAATCATGTTTGAAAGTTTTCAGGCGCATTCAAAATATTAAATAAATGTTGAATCTAGCGAACTTATAATGTATGTGTGATTCTGGCTACGATTAAAGGTACACATAATACAAATCTTTATAAAGTTTTAAGGCAATGAAGATAAATGTGCCTATCATGTTCTTCGGGACTTTTGTTGTTTGCTTTCTCTATGGGGTGTTTGGCTACACGATCGGACTTACGTTAATAGGATTTATTAAATCTGGATTTCCAGTGGGCTCCTGATGCGAGTGAATGTCACAAGAAACACTAACGTAAATCCAAGAAATCCACCTCTCCGTGGGATTTGGTAAATCCAGGTTTACAGATGGAACAAGTGTAGAAATGAAAAAAAAATAGATTAATGGAGACTTGGATTTCGTTTTCATTTTTTTTTATTATGTTTGGTTAGATTTAAGTTAAAATCCTGAATTAAATCTTGTTAAAAAAGTGCTACCAACAACCCCTAATGTAGTTAGCCTCTTCTTTTGTTGAATCGGCAGACCCACATACTAACTAAGCGCCCACACTTTCAGGGTTTTGACCAAGCTGAAGAATACTTTTGCCCCTTCAATGCCCTCGCAATTGCCCCCAACTTTTGATTTTGAATGCGGCACTCCTTCCTCGTTCTCCTTGCTATGCTGATTTCGTCGATGATTTCCCTTACCAGAGCCATCATGTTGTTGATTTCCCCGTTAAACCCTGTTCAGTGAGTTTTGTGTTTCTATTTCCCTTTTATCTCATTCGCTAGCCCTTGGCTTACACCTTAGTGTTAAGATTGATGGATGTTTCTGATCCCTTGTGTTTCTTATTTTTAATTTCTTAGCTGTATGACAACAAATGAGATTAAAGTTAGTAGGATTTAGTAAATCCTGTAAATCCAGATTTAATAAATCCTGAAAGGTTTAAATAAATTTTTTTTTTCAATTGATTTAATAAATACTGTCAAATCCTGTGTAATTGTTTGGCAATTTTTGTCTGGAATTAAAAATATATTATGATAGTTAGACTTTAACAATAAATTAAAATATAATTTAATAAATCATGTAAATCATGTAAATTGAAGTTCTTAAAACATTCCAAAATAGTCAAACAAATTTCTTAAATTCAACAAATATTTAATTTCAAAATACGTTAACTAATAATTATATATTTACTTAATAAATTATTTATTAAATTAATTATCAAATAGAAATTTAATATTTATAAAAGAATAATTTATTAGTTATTAATTATATTTATTGATAATTACTTATAAATTTATTGGATGAATAAGGAGATTATATTTATTTTTTATTAATTAATGATTACATGATAAATAAATTTATTTTAATATAATTAATCTGATGATATTTTAGTTAATTATTAATCAATTAAATTAATAAAATTAACTTAAATAAAATTACGTTAAGAAAATTTAACTCCAATAAAATTAATGGAAAGCTCGCCGACATTACTATTACTCTCCTCCCTACCCGGAGCCCTCCTCCACGAAAGTCGGGCACATCGCTTCTTTACCCGAAACCATCGCCTTCGTCACCGAACTCTCGCGATACAATTGCAATTGGAGCTAGCTTTAACGCAACGTCGGGATCGCGACTGACAAAGATCCGAAACTCCCATTTTATTTCTTCCTTTTGCTCCTCTCCTACCCGAAACCATTGAGGAAGGTAACTTCACGTCGTTTTTTTTTTCGCGTGAAGCGTCTATCCCGGATTTACTAAATCCACCGATTGACGGGATTTAGTAAACCAAGGTTTAAGGCCGAAATCTGTGAAATCCGGATTTATCAAATCAGAGGTTTTATTTTGCTAAAATGACCGTCTGGCAAGATTTAGGTTAAATCTAGCTTGCATCCTGCTCTAAATCCGTTACTAGACACTCCCTTAGTGTTAAGATTGATCGATGTTTCTAATCCCTGGCATTTCTCATTCTTAGTTACTTAGTTTCTTTTCATTCTCCCATCCGTTATGTTTTTGATATATTCTATTGATCTTTGATCCGGGAATGCGGTGGTCGTTCAAAGCAATTTGATGTTTGAGGCATGATATGTTTTCTGCTTGTTTGTTTGCTTTGCAATTTAGACGGATGGATGTCTTCGTTGTGAACTTTGATTTGGGAGATTAGGCCGGTTTGCTTATGTAAATGGACTGTATTACATCGAAGAAAGCCAGAAAGCAGTTTGTTGGGTATGAGGACCCCTTGCTTTTGGCCTCTCAAACTGCATCTAAGTTTTGCGTATGGAGGTTTTGCCAGAATGATCTCCTTTAATTTCATAAGTTTTGCATATGAGATCTATGGTATGCTGAATGTCCCTTAGTGGCGATAATGTCTTTGAAAGGCTGTCGATCATCACATCCTGAAAGCAATGTAGTAGTGGCTGTAGCGGTGCTGTTATCTCACTCTCCTTAGTTCCATCTAGGAGGACTAATGTCGGTGCCACTGGAGCATCTAGAACTGACTGCGTAAACGTTGCCTTTGGGACTAATGCCTCCTCTATGTCGCTTACACCGCCCACATCCTTAATAGATGAAAATAAGATATGTTTCCCATTCATCTTAAAAGAGTCAAGTATTGTTGAAGCCATCATGCTGAGTTTGCGGTCGAATGGCCAATGTCACTCCAACAGAATATGACATGCGTCAATCAGAACCACGTCACATCACATTTGTTCCTGTAGCGGATCCTCAATTGAAAATTCGACCCAGCGCTGTTGATCCACGCCTATCTCATTTTCTTTCTTCAACCAGGTAAGGGAATAACACTAAGGATGTTTCTACGTGGCCAATCTCAATTTCTTCACCATCAGCATAGACACCACATTTTCACAAATTTCACTATCGCTGATCAAACTGCAATCCTTAATCTGTTTCGTACACTTGTTGTGAAAGATACCGTGTCCCAGCCGTGTTGATCTCGTGTCGGCTTTAACTGCAGAACTCTCCGTATGACTAACATCTCTCCCTTGTCACCCTTAAGCTGAAGTTCTTCCATTGGACTATCATTTGACTCCTCTTCATCCACCTCTTTGATGATTCCTAGATTTGTGAATGTGACAACTTGCCCCGTGAGACCGTTGGAGGCTATGTGTTCATAGCCGTGACGCCTGAAATATCTCCTGGCCGTTATTGTACTGGAAGAACTACCCTTTTTCTGCTTCATTCCATTTGAATCTATCTTGTCAATCCCCTGTCTTATCTTGCCAACTCCGCCATAGGTACCTTTGTCGATCGTGGTAGTTGTAGGTGACTGCATAACTGAAGACTACGACCTGAATGAAGATTGTCATCTGCTTTATTTTTGTTGTCTTTCCACCTTCATGACTAAGGTTTGAACATCCCCTAACGACCAGTATGGCTGTAACTACACAATATTGCTAATAGTGGTTTCAGAACCTAGATACTGGTCTATGGTGTGTTCCTTTAGTTCGACCAATTCACACTTCATCTGCAACTGGTCAAACTGTGTTGTGAACTCATCCATTGAAAGATTCCTCTGATGTTGGTTGTGGAGCTCATAAATATGTACTGACAGTAATGTGGCGGAAGGTATTTCCTTTTCATCTCTTTCATCATCATTTCCAACTTGGTAATCTAATCACAACCTTATTTTTTCCTTTGTATATGCCAATTTCCCACCACAAAAAAAGGCATTCTTTTTCAATTTGATTGCTACTAGTTTCACTCTCATATCTTCTGCACCTCCTTATATTTGAACATTCACTCATTGAATTGTTGCCAGTCGATAAAGTCATTCAGAACCAAACCTCCATCAAATTCTGGTAGATCCACTTTTATGTCGAAGTCCCTGTGTCCTCAATATGTAGGCTCCTCTCTCGGCCTTCAACTCGTGGCTGAGGGTAATCTCCCATTTAATTCCATCATCAATTTCTGCGATCCTCTATTGCAACCGACGAATCTCCCACTGTATCTTGTTCCAGGTAGATTACAACATGTATCTCCGGGATGGCATGATTAGGTTTTGGGTTTGGAAAAAAAAAAAAATTAGAGGGGTAAGGCAGGTGCTAAGAAATCTTAAGATAACACGAAAGTCAGGCTAGCTTTGATATCAAATAATGTTGAAATTAACCAAACCGAAAGAAAAAAATTTTGGTGGAGGGGTAATGCAGGTGCTAAGAAATCTTAAGATAACACTAAAGTTAGGCTAGCTCTGATACCAAATTATGCTGAAATTAACCAAACCGTAATAACGAAAGTAAATTTTATAAAAAAAATAACTAGGACTACAATCATGACTCAACAAAAACAAAAAAAAAAACAACAAAAATTCAAATCCGGCTAAGGCTTGGAGTTGACATTCGTTAGCAGAGGTTTCAGTTTTTGTGGTATGCGATGGAGGTTGGTAGGGTTGGAGGCGGATGAGTAGAATAGGAAATGTTCGGTGGTTGGTGGTAGGGAGAAGAATTGGGACTCACGGGTGGCTGGTAGAAGGAGCGTAGGATGGAGGTGACAGGGAGTCCGATCTAGGGAGGTTGGCGGTTGGAACAGGGGCTATGTGGAAGAGCAGATGGGGCTGGTGGCTGGGAATAAGATCGAAGGCGGTGAGGAGGTCAGATGGAATGATTCTGGAGGGAGAAAGGAAGACAGCAGGCCGACGACTGGATTAGGTGGGAAGGGGGGATGCTGGCCGGTGGCTAGGAGCAGTAGGGATGAGAGCGAGAAGGGATTCGAAGGGGATAATCACTACCCCGGAGCAGGATACAGTCGAAACACCACTTGTGCTGGGATACATCCTTAGCAAGGGCAAGAAGCCTATTGGTAGGAATCTGAAACAAAAGCAAGCATAAACCCTTGACTCAACAAGCACACATATTAATAGTAGATAGATAGGCAAGAAAACAAAAGGAAGGGGGACCGAGACTCCTTCCCCGTTGAACCCCCTGCCGATTCAGTCGAACCAAGCCCCCACATCACTTTATATCTCTCGCGGGCGGTGCTGTGGAAGCTTCCTCGCTCGATACCTGTTGTGCAGGTGTCTTACATAGGTAATTGATTTCTTTTATTTAATAAATAAGTTAATTAAAATATTTAGAAGTTTATTATTGTAGTTAATTTTGATTAATCACTTAATATATGAATGGTTAAGTTTATTAGGGTTTAGGACATAATGTTAATTTTATGTGCTAAATTAGGTTTTCGGGTCACCCAGAAATTCATGACTTATTTATCAGACAGTTCAAAAGATCTGACCCCGAACCCAACACATCTTCAACTCAAATGACTTGAACCTAACTAACGCAATCCATTTAGCATAAGTCATATTGGCCATTTAGGACAAATTTAAATTGACGGTTTAATCATAATCTGACTTAAAATAAATGGTTTAAAATTTAATACCTTAACCCGACCTAAAGTTTAAATAAATTAACTCAAATCCCCCTTTTTTAGCCTTGTTTGGGTCAAGTTATCATGCCAGGTCAATCTTTGACATTTCTAGTTATTCTTAGTCAATATGATCATTTCGATGCGACAATGTTTGAGTAACAATCATTAAAATATTTTTCAGATTTTATTTTGGCTATCAAATTGAGAGTTTTGAGTTTAATATTGATATTTTAACAATTATTTTTTTTTGTTTCTAATTTTTTTATTTGTTCCTGTGATACTTGAAGAAACGTAATAAACTCCACCCATATCTTCTCCATGACTTTAAAATCTATTTAACACTTAAAAGAATTTTTTTTCTTGAACTTAATAAACACTAATTTTACTTCATAGAGATTTTATAATAAAATAACAACATAATATTATGAAAGATGCCTAATCTGACTTAAAATAAATGGTTTAAAATTTAATACCTTAACCCGACCTAAAGTTTAAATAGATTAAATCAAATCCCCTTTTTTTAGTCTTGTTTGGGTCAAGTTATCATGCCAGGTCAATCTTTGACATCTCTAGTTATTCTTAGTCAATATGATCATTTCGATGCGACAATGTTTGAGTATCACACATTAAAATATTTTTCAATTTTTATTTTGGCTATCAACGCGAGAGTTTTGAGTTTAATTTTGATATTTTAACAATTAATTTTTTTTTGTTTTTAATTTTTTTATTTGTTCCTGGGATACTTGAAGAAAAGTAATAAACTCCACCCATATCTTCTCCATGACTTTAAAATCTATTTAACACTTAAAATATTTTTTTTTCTTAAACTTAATAAACACTAGTTTTACTTCATAGAGATTTTATAATAAAATAACAACATAATATTATGAAAGATGCCTAATCTGACTTAAAATAAATGGTTTAAAATTTAATAATTTAACCCGACCTAAAGTTTAAATAGATTAACTTAAATCCCTTTTTTTTAGTCTTGTTTGGGTCAAGTTATCATGCCAGGTCAATCTTTGACATCTCTAGTTATTTTTAGTCAATATGATCATTTCGATGCGACAATGTTTGAGTATCACACATTAAAATATTTTTCAGTGGCTATCAACGCGTGAGTTTTGAGTTTAATATTGATATTTTAACAATTAATTTTTTTTGTTTTTAATTTTTTTATTTGTTCCTGGGATACTTGAAGAAAAGTAATAAACTCCACCCATATCTTCTCAATGACTTTAAAATCTATTTAACACTTAAAAGAATTTTTTTTCTTGAACTTAATAAACACTAATTTTACTTCATAGAGATTTTATAATAAAATAACAACATAATATTATGAAAGATGCCTGGAGTAAGTGACAAAGGTAATAAACTCCACCCATGTCTTCTCCATGACTTTAAAATCCATTTAACACTTTAAAGAAATTTTTTTTAAAACTTAATTAGCACTAATTTTACTTCATAGAAAATTTATAATAAAATAACAACATAATATTATGAAAGATGCCTGGAGTAAGAGGCAGTTGTGGACAAGGAAATTTAAGTATAGTATGTTTGTTTTCTTTCCGGCATGTAATTTCATATATTTTGCTTAGCATGATTCTAATTTTAGTAATTTTCTTGTCTAATAGCCCATGTTTGTCCGTTCTTTGATTAAACACATTTTTATTTGTTTTGAATCTTGTGATTAGTCACTTAAAATACTAACTCCTATCTGGTTAGGTTTATTAGGATTTAGTTGTAATGTTAATTTTTATATAGTACTGATCCTCTCACTAATCCATTGGTTAGATTTAAATCAGACTTAGTAAGCTAATATTTCTTGTTACTTAACTAGGTGGTTAATCAAATATAAGACATTAAAAAGTAATTGTCACCTTAGCACACTTTGTGCTCTTTGTTTCTTTTTCTATCACTGAGGTGTTAAGCCTTCATCTATCCATTGCAAGCATGGGCGTTGACAGAAATGCATCTCCATGTTAGCTAGGAGGTCCAGTGGTGAAGAAGTGCTTTATATTTGTTCCACTTCGTTGGCTGTTCCTCTTTCTTTCCTCTGCATATTTCATCCCCGTTCTCTTTGGGTGGGCGTGATTGTTTAGCCCTTAAGGGTATTTCGCCTAAAAAACAGCCAATTGCTGATGCTGATTTTAACTGATTTCTCACAACCTTAAAGTTGATTTATATAAAGTTTATTGTTTGCATTAAATTTTTATATTTTGCTCCTTGATTGGAGCTGAACTAGCTTCACGACTTAGATAGCCTCTTTTGATCCTTATGTTTCTCAGTCTCTTAACACTCTATGCTGAAGTTCATTCTTATGGGGCAGATTTTAAATTAGATAATCCTCTTTCAATATAAATGAAGATTAAATATTTTGTTAGTCTATTAAATTTAAAATAAACTCACCCTGTGTTCTCCTTTTAATGTTTAAAGCCCCATCAAAGTCAAATTGGTTAAGCGTGGTTGTTCAGTTGTTTTGCTTTAGGTTCTTAAAAGGACGATGGTTTAGGTTTTGTTACTTGTAACTTGTTAGATTAATTTATGTCCAACTTGGCTAAATTGCTATGCATATATTATACTCTTGATAATTACAATAGCTCTATTCATACACATTTGAATTGTGGTTTATATATTGTCCATATGTAAAGTGTAATTTCTCTAACTACGCTTTATATAACTGTGTTTAATTCATGGTTTCTTCTTATGCAGTTAGCACTAATCATGGCTAATGAAGGCCACCTTAAAACTTGGGTTTCGGACAAGCTGATATCACTTATGGGATACTCCAAGAGTGTGGTGGTTCAATATGTTATCCGACTATGTAAGCATCTCAATTATCCATTATTTTTTGCTTTCAAGTAGAACAATTAATTATGCCAAAATGCTTTTATGGTAGTATCCTACTGATAATTTGAGTCTATATAAATCAATGAGTTGTAATTAGGAAAAATCATAGTCTTAGTAGCATAATTAAAAAAAAATCAGTATCATATTAGTATATGATAACAAAAACCAAGGTTAGAATTATTCTCAGATTGAATTTAGCTTATTTTATATATTATCATAGTCTCAGTAGCATAATTAGAAAAAAAAAATCATAATCATATTAGTATATGATAACAAAGACCATGGTTGGACTTATTCTCAGATGTTGTTTAGCTTATTTTATATATTTTACCAAGGTTTTGCTTTAATTTTTTGTTGTAATTTTGAACTAAATTTGAATATTAATACATATTGAATATGCTTTGTATAAACACAACATCATCTGCATTTGAATAAATATTCTCAAATGAAAAAAAATATAATATATTATTGTAATTTGCTTTTTAATATTGAGCGCGGTGTTAGCATGAAATGCTATACCACTTGTAACCCATTGGTTAAAGAAGATTGTTATATATTTGAGGTCATGGGTTTGCACCACGTATTTTGTGATTTATCTCTCAGTGATCTAAAAAAAGAAAAGTAATCTACAAATAAAATAATTCAAATAGAAGAATGGGCTGATTTAGTTCTTTTTAATTAAGTGCCAGAATTTTAATTGATTTTATTAAAGGTCCATTTTGTGTGCTTTTTATATACTCTATTGCATATCATTTGTTAAAAATATTTATGAAATATTTGACATGATTAAAATTCATTCAGATTGATTTTATATGATTTTTATTTCAAAAACGAAAATATTTTATAATTAATGTAGAAATAAAATTACGTATTGATAGACCCTTTAATTAAATAGGTGGCAGTTTTCCAAATTTTTTAATAGCTAAATTATTTTGGATGAATATCATGACACACTTGTAGATGGATAGTGAAATGAAATTATAAATAGTATAATTTGATGAATAAAATTTGGTAAAATTCAAAACAAATAAATAATAAACGAAGTAATAACATTAACACCAATGGTTGAATTTTTTTGTTGGGATTGTAGAAAACTTAAAGCACTGTTTGGAAGTGTAAAAAATGTATGAATTGTTTTGAGGATTAATTAATGAATGGTTGATTTTGTATGCTTTTTATGTAGTAAGCTGTATATTTATGTTGTGAGGTGTATATAATTTATCAAAATTGATGCATAAATATTGGATAAGATTAAATAAAAAATGCTAATATTTTTCTTATTTTATTTTTTATATAAATATTTTTTAAAATATATATGGAAATGAATTCGTGAATAGACTAACTCCTATAGATGAAAAAGTTTAATTTGTCGAAATTATGTAAATTTAACATAAGGCAGTTTTAATTTTTTTAATAGTTAAAAAATTTTAAAATGGTGATTAATATGATATGCCATTGTAAATGGATATTTAAACTTATATTGGATAACATTAAAACCATAAACCTAAAAAAATATTTGATAAAAATTTACGGACTCAAAATATTTGTTGATTAATATTTAATAAGATCTTTGATTTCTTTCTTTAATGTTACTTTATTTCATACTTTGAAATAGTTTTCACCTGGATGGTGAAGTTGTTTGAGCCTTTTCCACTATCCAAACAGAGCTGATTTAAGTGAGTAAAATGGGCAATTTAAAAATTAAAGTACTAATTTTAGCATTTATGTATATTCTTTATTGTAATAATTAAAACTTCTTACTTTTGAAAATTAGATAAACATTTATATTCTGGATATTTAATTTTTAATTTTTCGCACATTGAAAATTTAAGAAGTTTTCAAACATTAATTTGGATTTAAAAACCCTTAAAAATTTTGAACTCATATTTAGCTAATAACATGTTTTAATGCTTTGATTAAAAGGTTGTTAGTGTATGTTATATTACTGCTATGTTATATTACTGATTAACTTTCTTAATTCTATTACACGGTGTATGTGGTAAAGGACATCTGCTCAAAATTTGAAATATATTTTCTAAAAGACATTTTTTACTTCGTTTGGCTTTGTTGTTGTTATTTGGAAAGCTGGTCGAGAAAAAAGCAGAGTTTAAACCAATTGTAGCAAAAGCTTAGTTTAAAAGTTACTGTAGAGCAAGTAGAGTATAAAAGCTGTTATGTCTAAAGTTGTTGATGCTGTTTGAGTAGCATGTCTTATGTGTACTATTTTAAACTCAAACAGTGTAATTTTTGTTTGGTTAAACTCGAAACTGTTTGCCATTTAAACATAAAAGACTAAAATGATGATCTGTTTCAAAGGGCCATAGGCATAAAATAATTCAACTATAACAAAAATTTACTTTTCAACTAAAATTTTTATAACAGTACAAATTATGACATAAATAACATATGGAGCATAGTTGAGTATGTTGGGCCTTAAATACCGCTACTTAGCTTGGAAATTTGCTTTTAAATTAGAAAGATGATGATAAAAAAATATCTATTAGAAACAAAAAACAATGATGAATAAACCAAAGGGGCATTTACATACGTACCGCCCAATTCCTATGTGTTTATATATTTAACACCTTAACTTTACTTTTATACCGTCCAAATCTTTCATATCATATAAAAAATACTACTAATTTAGTCTTTAAAAAATGAAATACACCTTTTCATACATAGTTAATGTGATATGTATTTAAAAATTGAAGTTTAGGTGTTAGAGATGTAAATGCACAGGAATTGAGTGGTATGTATGTAAATCTTTCTAAAAAGTCAGATTTAATATAGATAAATAAGTAGATATTCTCATTTGTAATGGTGTAATTACGCAGCAATGTTATTTTTAATTCAGCTATCTCTGGCGCTCCTTCCCTATTAACATGATTGATATACATGTTAGGATTTTTATAAACATATTGCCCTACTCTATACTCATGTACCTCTAAATGAACAAAATTTTCATTAGCATCACATTCCTCATACTCAGGATCAGTACATGGTTGATGCCTGTATAGTTAGTTATATTTATACACCTGCACGCGCGCACAAAATTGTGGCAACAACATCAATACATTCTTGAAGGAATGACTTGAGGCTTCTCTTAGAATTTCCCGTTTTCCATACACCAAATGCAGGTTCTTTTACCCTTTGAATTGCCAAATATGTCTTGTTGAATATTCCACGTTGAACCCGTATTGATTTTGTAGCTTATGTAAATGATATCCTGTGTTTGGAGAGGTTAAGCAATCCCCTTTGCAGTAGATAACCAACATCAACTGAGTAAAACTATCAAGCTAGAATGAGATGATAAAATAATAAAATATTATCATTTTATTGATAAAATATTGGAATTTAAGTTCTTTCGATGTGACAAAATATCTACTACTTGAATAGGAAAATAAGATTCATGATCCATGGCAACACATTTGAAAATGCAAGTGAATCGTCAAACTCTTATGCACATGTTGAAATAATATATATCAATAACATTTTAAGTTGGCGAATGATACCATCCAATGTATGCAACTTATTCTAAAATAGGGATAAGAGCATTTTCTTATGTGCCTTTAATTTTCCTTATATAATCATTGAAATATGACATATAGCAATCATCATGGTGAATCTCATATAGAATATGGTGAAAACTTATAATATCTATTACCAAGTGAATTAATGTTTCGAGACTAGAAGAGAAATTTTTATTGATACTAAGACTGTTGAAAGAATCACATCTTGCTCTCATGAACTCATATGGTAGAATGCATAAAATGACGTCCTACATTCCTTTTAGTTGTTCTTTGTGAACCAAATAATTATACTAATTGAAACCTCTTATGAAATTCTAGTTAAATTATGAAATCTCATAGGGTATCTTAATAGTAGCTTGCATATACATTTATTCCCAATTTGAGTTAATAGCCGAGCTCTTTTTCAAGTATAGAACATAATAATAATGGACTTATCATGTTGCTGCTACCAGTGTATTGTTAAATTGAATGACATTCGTATGATTAATAGTGGGCTCCACATTCCTTTATAGAATCACCACCAGAAAATTTGAATCCTCCTCCATCATTTTTTAATCGTTATAATATAATGAAAAAATTTCATTATACTAGAATCATATATAATATTTAATAGTTCATAACCTAATAACTAGGGCTGTCAATTTGGCTCGCTGTTCGTGAACAGCTCGTGTTCGGCTCGTTAAGCAGCTCGTGTTCGACTCGTTTGTTAAGCATAACGAGCTGAACACGAACAAATTTTTAAGCTCGAAATGTAAACGAGCCGAACACGAGCAACAGTTTGTTCGCTCGTGTATGACTCGAAATGACTCGAAAAAAAATTATATAACTTTTTAGATAACAATATATTACATATATTATTTACATAATAATATATTATATATGTTTATGTCTAAGTTTAAATCATAACACTTCATGTGACAATATGATTAGTGTTTTCTTTTGTATATATTTGATCCAAGTTCGAATCTCACACTTTACATCTATTTTTCTCAATTTTAGTTTAACGCTAAAATAGGGATAAGAGCATTTTCTAATGTGCCTTTAATTTTCCTTATATAATCATTGAAATGTGACATATAGCAATCATCATGATGAATCTCATATAGAATATGGTGAAAACTTATAATATCTATTACCAAGTGAATTAATGTTTCGAGACTAGAAGAGAAATATTTATTGATACTAAGAGTGTTGAACGAATCATATCTTGCTCTCATGAACTCATATGGTAGAATGCATAAAATGATGTCCTACATTCCTTTTAGTTGTTCTTTGTGAACCAAATAATTATACTAATTGAAACCTCTTATGAAATTCTAGTTAAATTATGAAATCTCATAGGGTATCTTAGTAGTAGCTTGCATATACATTTATTCCCAATTTGAGTTAATACCCGAGCTCTTTTTCAAGTATAGAACATAATTATAATGGACTTATCATGTTGCTGCTACCAGTGTATTGTTAAATTGAATGACATTCGTATGATTAATAGTGGGCTCCACATTCCTTTATAGAATCACCACCAGAAAATTTGAATCCTCCTCCATCATTTTTTAATCGTTATAATATAATGAAAAAATTTCATTATACTAGAATCATATATAATATTTAATAGTTCATAACCATATAACATATTGCATAACTTTGTGGAGAAGAATTCATTGTTGGAATACCAAATAAAACCTTTAGAATACAAAGTAACACTTAAATTGGCCGATCATTATGCAAAAAAGGTCCTGTCAACTGACATAATTTAATGCAATGAACTAGCCTTATTAGCCTCTGGAGTTTCCTGTTTTTAGGTACACCCATGAAAGTTTACATTATTTTTGTTGCCTTGAGCTCTATTGCAAAGTCATGAGATTAAGTACAGTTTTCCTATGGATTGGAGTGAGTTGTAAAAGTTTTATGTGGGCTAGTTTTTTATTTACGTCAGTGCTAATGTATTGTGCAACATCAGCATGAACCTTGATGCTGTTCCTAATTTGTTGTTTACCTCCTGTCTTAGATTGTTTATCTTTTTCCCTTCCATGTTGGATGAGCCAACTGCATGTCATCTTTGTTGGGCACCTCCATTATCACCTTCAACTTCATTACAATGTACAATATATGGCTATTTTTTTAGCTCTCTTTATTGCCCGAGGAATCTCCTTGTCTTAACCGCTACTACATGGCATCATGCTAGCAAGCGTTTATTCCAACTCACACGTTATTTTATTTAATTGAAATTTCTTAGCAGAAAGTATTGCCCACAAAATTTCAAGAGTTTAAAATTAGCAAATTCCATGAACTAGGTTCTTCTATCTATTTTTATTGAAGTTAGTCTATTTCGAAGATCTGTTTCTCATGCACAAATTATAGTAAATTATGATAATTTTCATTTCGCATTTTATTTGATGCACTGGCTTCCTTTGGCTTTTCAATTGACTTGCTTAAAAATAGGAGGCCCTAATATGCATTGATGATATTTTTCTGTTAATATTATTCTATAATAGAAGTTGATTGGGCTACCATCATGGTGATATAACATCAGAAAACATGATGCCAGTCAATGAACTTAAAAAATTTCCTTATTTCTTAAACATCTATTTCTTTTTTTGGTAAAGGTATTATTTAAAAATAATTAATATACAATGATGCTGATATTGATAGTTTGCATCACCAATGGGTTTTGAAACCTTGTTCCTAAATTAGAAGTTGAAGAACGTCCTTGTCAAGAGCAGTAGGCATCGGAACATAAAGCATAGAACTTGCAAAGGGTTGAGTACAAGTGCCAAGTTCACTTTATTTTTCTAAATGGGCAGTCTTGAACCATAACTACTATAAGTTTCTTTATTTTTTAAACGTCATTTTTTTTTTGGTAAAGGTATTATTTAAAAAGAATTAATATACAATGATGCTAATATTGATAGATTCCATCACCAATGGGATTTGAAACCTCGTTGCAAAGTTAGAAGTTGAAGAGCGCATATAGCAA